CTATTAATTTTAACAACATTATTTTTCAAACTCTTATCTATAATTACACCTACACCATTTCTAGTGCGACTCTTACCAGAATACCAAAGTTTAAAACCTAAATTATCAATCTCCTTAGCCTTTTCTCCAACCCACTTAGTTTCTTGAATACATAAGATATTAATTTTCCTATGAATCATAATATCAACTAATTCCATTAATTTACCATTGAGAGTGCCTATATTCCAAGATCCTATCCTAATATTAGTTTCATTAGTTTCATTAGTTTCATGTACTAACTTCTTTACCCGCATTTGCCCGTAATGTGGGAACCCTTGCTTATTTAACACTACACCCGGGCGTTGGTGTAGCGGCCCTTGCACACTTTTCATTGAATTTAGGCTATACAACGCGTCGCTTCCAGGGGACGCCCTAACACTTACACAATGATCAAAAGGATTCATGTCATGATTTTTTCGACAAGTTTTACGCTGGCTGACGACTACCTAACGCAACCCTCCACTTTTCTCATCCGGGCTTGGGACCGGCAACGGCAGTGTTTACCTTCTACTAGTATAAACTCATTAAAATAAATAAATAAAGCATCACAAATTCAATTCACAACAGCGGTCATTCATATTTCTTAGCAGTTGGAGCATGCCAACATTGATAAACAACATAGCCATTGATGTGTGCAAGGGCTCATTTGCTAAATTTGACCTTGGCCAGCTCATGAGTGACATCTCAATGGTTTTGAAGCAAGGAATGTTGAAAACCCATCCCTTAAGAGTACCTGTCACTGCAACGAACAACAAATAGTTAGTAGAAACATGTGATCTGTCTTCCACGCCCAAGCAGACACAAGCGTAAGAATTTGTCTCACTAAACAATTTTGCGTACGTAAGATGTACGTAGCACTGCGTACGTCAGAGAGGTTATTCAAAGGGTATTAGAGAGTTATATTCGTGTTATACCCCTTATAACCTCTCTGTAATGTTTACCTTCTACTAGTATAAACTCATTAAAATAAAGAAATAAAGCATGAATTTTGCAAAGAAAAATATCACAAATTCAATTCACAACAGTACGGCAGTGTTTACCTTCTACTAGTATAAACTCATTAAAATAAATAAATAAAGCATCACAAATTCAATTCACAACAGCGGTCATTCATATTTCTTAGCAGTTGGAGCATGCCAACATTGATAAACAACATAGCCATTGATGTGTGCAAGGGCTCATTTGCTAAATTTGACCTTGGCCAGCTCATGAGTGACATCTCAATGGTTTTGAAGCAAGGAATGTTGAAAACCCATCCCTTAAGAGTACCTGTCACTGCAACGAACAACAAATAGTTAGTAGAAACATGTGATCTGTCTTCCACGCCCAAGCAGACACAAGCGTAAGAATTTGTCTCACTAAACAATTTTGCGTACGTAAGATGTACGTAGCACTGCGTACGTCAGAGAGGTTATTCAGAGGGTATTAGAGAGTTATATTCGTGTTATACCACTTATAACCTCTCTGTAACCTACCTGTAACTTATCTTTAACCTACAAATATATGAAAACAGAAGCGTGAAACTTACTAGAAGGTATAGGTAGGTTTCAGATAGGTTACAAGGAGGTTACAAAAATATATGAAAACAGAAGCGTGAAACTTACTAGAATGTATAGGTAGGTTTCAGATAAGTTACAAGGAGGTTACAAGGGGTATAACGCAGATATAACCCCCAATACCCTCTGAATAGCCTCCTTGACATACGCAATGTTGCGTACATCTTACTAATGCAAATTTTTCTCCCTTTAAAGGGTTGATTGCTGGTAGGGATTGCATCCTTGAGGAGTTTCCATCAAAAGATGTGTCCACGGGGATGCAGTTCAGGTTGCTACAAGAACTTAGTAATGTAGGCTAAAGAGGTGACAATTTTCCCACTAAGCATGTGAATGAGTTCAAGTTCATCTTTGGGCAGCATAGAATGAAGAGAGATGATAGCAATATAGTCCGTAAGCGCCAAAAAGCATTTCACAAGTTTCTCCTTGCTCCACTTGCCATCCTCCAAGAGATTTGCCAGAGGGCCATCCAGAATCTACACGAACTGCATTTAGCAAGAGGGCCATCCAGAATCCAGGACTTATCAATAATACTAATTTCTTCTCTTGAAGAGACACTCCATCTGCACCATTGGAAAGGATGTTCCAAGTGACCGCGATAGTATAATAGTGGTATCGCATCTCTAAGCTGTCCCCATATCTACCTTCTAAAAAAACTAAGCAGTTGGGAGCTTCAATTTCTAAAATAATCTCATGCTCACCTTGCCCAGAGCAGTTCTTTTCACTTAGTGAGAGCATGGAACCTGAGTTCACGAAGGGATGTTGGCTGACAAAGGCTATCCCATGCTACATAGTGCAGCTATCTACTGTTGGACCTTCCATTCCAGAAACGTTCCCCACATTTCTTCTCTATTTTTAATAAAATGCCTTGTGGAACTTTAGTATGTGTGACAAAGTACACCGACAAAGCAATAAGGGGGGAGTTGAAGAGGGTAGCCTGACCCACAATAGATAGTTGCCTCATTCACCTCCCATTTAACTTGCTTACGGTTCTTAGGATCAAGTTTGAGAAGTCATGTTTGGTTAGCTTCCTGAATGCCAAAGGGATCCCAAAGCATTCCAATTCATCCACTCTCTTGTACTGGAGTAGTTTTACAATTATATTCTTGCAATTGGAAGTGATTTTGCTAAAGAAATGACAGATTTCTTTGTGTTGATGTGATCGCCTGTCCACCCACAAGTAATTGAGAATCACCTTGAACTGCTTGACATAAGAGGTGGACACACTAGAAAAAAGAAGGATATCATATGCATAAAGTTGATATGAGAATATAGGCCTAACACGAGTAATGTAGATCGAGATATGTTGTTATCTTTGGGTGAGCGAAAGAGAGAGGAATTGCAAACACATAATGAACAAGTTTGGGGAGAGCGGGTTGCTCTGTCGAAAGCCACAAGTGGCATCACTCCCAGAAGATTGTTTACTATTAATTAAAAAGGTTAATGTAGGCTTCTCTATGCATTGGAGAGTCCACATAATGAAATTTTTAGTAAGATTGGAGAGACTCATCCACATTTATTTAATCCAAATATATACTTACATTTTACATGCAGAGATGTCTCATGCCTTCACGCCCATTTAGAATGTCAAATTCTATCCCATCTAAGAATGTGATGCTATTGGGTGAATGCTATATGAACCAACCCTGCTTGATGTCTTTTAAGGTGGTTATAAGGCAAGGTTGTTTGTCAAATATTGGGGCAACCATGGCCTTAATGGGACTTTCTTAATGCATCATAAGGTTTGTTAGATTTTTATATTTGTTATGTTGAGTACCTTCAACCTGACAAGTATGATTCCCTATAATGTATTCATTGAGCTCGGAGTATAACACATTATTTTTTGAAAGAGGTCATGTATGATGCTCCACTCATGAGTTGACAATAGGGACCAACATTACTAAGGTGGTGTTAGGAAGCAATATTTTTAGAATGTAAGAGTTGGGATGACTATGTTACGGGATATCAAGGGTGAGTAATGGATCATGATCACCATGTTAATTATGTTTCAAACTTGCTGATTAGTTTCAATGAAATCAATATGAAGACAAAATTATGTTAGTTCTTGTAAATTGTTCACATACATTCAAATTGGACTCAAAATTAGTTTCTTCACCTAGTTTGAGGAGAGAAAAGAATAAGAAGAGGTGGAAGTCTTGAAACTAGCTTACACTGATTTAAGACAAAGAAAAGCAATAGGAGAACAGGAAAAAGAGAATGAGAGAGTTGTCACATGGCATTACAATAATGCTTTAGATATGTATCAAATGGCAAATCTAATTATTTTGATAACCACCCTGTTTTTTTTTCGAACCACCTTCATTATTTGAATGGTGAGCTACTTGACTTGTGAAGGGATTTTGAAAATGTGCTCCTTTAACTCTTTTATAATTTATTGGGACTAGTTGTATATCATTGTCTACTTTAAGCATTTAGTTTTGACTTTGGGCAAGAGTTTGAGATTCATTGTCTACTTGACTAAATAATAAATGCCAAATCCTTTAAGATCATAGTTATGCTTCTCTTAGAAATGTATGAGGTCCAACTGTATATGCTTAAAACACCCCTTAAAAAATAAATGATGACTATGTGCATATATGAAAAACCTTATTGATGTGAAGTATGTTTATTCTTCTAATATATCGTCATTGTTTAGATTAAAAGGCTTGAAAAATAATGAAATTAAATTTACCTCCTTCACTAATAAAAATGAAAACAGTTTTGAGCAAGTGCCAATTGATATGTTTTCTAAGACTTTGTTTCAGTTTTTTTTTTTTTTTGGACATTTATCATAAAATTTGTTGCAATTCAACATCGAATAAAATTTATCCTAGAATTTGCTTAAATTTTTAATTTTAAGCAGATTTTATAAAGCCCATTAACATTTGGCCTCAATTAAAAATGATTATATAACTTGTTTAAATTTGAAATTTATGGCAGTCTATAAAGCTTGTTCAAACATGGCTCAAGTCCTAAAAACAGACTAAAATATCTCGGCCTATCAAAAATTGATCCAAATTACCCATAAGCAATTAAACAATTATGTTTTAATTTTCAAAATTTCTCAAAAAATATGGAACAGATTAGGTTTCTTCTTTAAATATTTACAAAAGGGATTTAATTAGTTAAAACTGGCAAAAATTCTCAAAATTACCTAAGCCAGCCAACCAAAACTTCCTTAACATGATCAAATCTAACAAAAAAAAAAAAAAAAAAAAAAAAAAAAAGTGCTACAAATCTCTAATTCAAAACTTAAATTCACCATAAATTCTACCTTCTAGCACAATAGGCTGCTCCAAGAAAAAGATAGAACAGCTGCCTCATCTATTTTTCTAATATATTTAATTGTGTTTGTGGAAAAGTCCTCGCCAGGGAAGCACAAAGTCATTATCTGTACAAAGAAACAGATAATATGTTTAATAGCAAGGAGGTACAAGATTAGCAGGCCTTAAAGCAAAATATCAGTAGCCACACATAGCCAATCGCATATTAATCTACTAATTCCAACCATTAGTGAAATTTTTGGTATAATCAAATCCACCAATATTGGTTGCAAGTTGCATTCTAGTTTCAGCTTGCCAACTAGATATCGTATGGATGATGGAAGTTGCAGCAATAGGGCAAACTCCACTTTCTCCTTTTATTATTGGATCTCAACCTAAAGGGGATTCATGGCCAAAAGTTGAATGAAAGCAAATTATCACTGGTTTTTTTGAAAATAATGAGTACAAGTTGGTCCAGCAGCCTCCATGTCTTTAACTTTACTCTTACTCAAATACCACTGAATACTTGTCCGAAATTATGCAGAACCCATTCCTCCCTCTATATTTACTCCTACAGCAATTTTCATTAGCCATTTTTGAATAGTAGGGATCCTGAAAGCTTATCACCTAATACTGTTCAATGAAAATTCTTAGGGGAAAGCTTCCACTCTCCATAATGGCGATAGTTGTATGCATATTGGCATTTGCTGTTTTAATTTTCACAGAGGATCTCTGGGCTATCACTGGCACGTCAATATTTAAGTACAAATCCTGTTCTAAAAAGGATCCAGTGACAAATTCTAGTAAGATTGCAACAGGTAGTAGTTATTTGTGTATAATTTGCTTGGCTAACCTGAGATAAGCATTTAATGAAAACTTACTGGTAATCATCAGAAGTGAAGGAGAAGCAGAAGGTCACTTCATTTGACGATGATTTCATTGACGAAGATAATAATTATTTTGACTCTGGTGAAAGATGCAGCATAGAGAAGGGGAAATGGGTCTTTAATACTTCAGCGGAGCTATTTTATACTGATCAGAGCTGCCCATACTTGGATAAACAAATATCATGCTTAAAAAACGGAAGGTCCGACAGCGACTACTTGTACTGGGAGTGGCAGCTTGATGACTGCATATTGCCGAGGTTAGTATAATTTTACAACTTTTTCCAATCAGTAACAGGAAGGAAGAATCTTTCTCACTATATCTGCATTTTGCTTTAGGTTTAATGCTGCAGCCCTGCTTGAGAAACTCAGAGGAAAAAGGTTAATGTTTTCTGGGGACTCATTGCAAAGAGAACAATGGCAATCCCTTGTCTGCATGGTAGAGTCGCATATTCCAACAGATAAGAAAAAGATGAAGCGCGGTCGAACTCTGTCAGTGTTTAAGATTGAGGTAATAGTTCTACCTGAAATCAATCAAAGTTTGAATTTTGGATGCAACCGACCGAATTGCTTGATTTCAGAATTACAACGCTACAATCGAGTTCTACTGGGCTCCTTACCTTGTAGAATCCAATTCTGACGAACCCATCATCCGTGATACAAAGAAGAGAATATTAAGAGTGGATTCAATCGCCAAACATGCTCAGCATTGGGTTGGGGTGGACTACTTAGTCTTCAATAGTTATGTTTGGTGGACCAGTGACCCCAAAATGAAGTCCTTGTATGTTCTAACTTCAACAATAATTGATTCGAGTAATTTAAATTATAGTGATATTTTGATGAAGTTTCTGTCTAGGTGGGGATCATTTGCCAACGGAGATGAAGGGTATGAAGAGCTGGATTCTGTAGTTGCTTTCAGGATGGCGCTTAAGACATGGGCCAATTGGATAGATTCTAATGTGAACCGAAGCAGCACAAGGGTCTTTTTCACCACAGCATCCCCCACACACATGAGGTATTTTTTCCTCTGTTACTGGACATTAATTCTTAAGATTTAAGGTCAATAAAAAATGTGCATCTTCTCAACATGCAGGAGTGGAGATTGGAAGCGACAGAAACCAACTAGATGTTATAATGAGACAAGGCCAGTCACAGGAAGAGAATACTGGGGAAGTGGCTCTAATAAAAAAATGATGGAGGTGGTTTCAGGTGTAGTTTCGAGGATGAAGTTTTCTGTCACCTTCATCAATATAACACAGTTGACGGATTATAGGAAAGATGGACATGTATCTGTTTATACTGGAGAACTCTCAGACAAGCAGAAAGCTGATCCGCAGACATTCGCTGATTGTATTCACTGGTGCTTGCCTGGAGTCCCTGACACATGGAACAAAATACTGTACGCATATTTGTAAGATGAAGCAAAGGCCAGTGCCATAACTTGACTTGATTCAAAATCAAACTAGTTTTTTGTATCAAATTTGGGGAAAAAAAAATGTTCAGCTAGAAGTAGTCTATTTATTAATGAATAAATCAGGAAAAATCAAGGACATGTTCCCTTTCGAAAAATATGAAAATCAGGTGCTTACAGTGAGTGGCTCTATAGCGAGCATAGTGAGTCTAGAGGCTGGCAAGCCAAACCATCAATGGCCGACGGCAGATATGTGAAGATCCTGAACAGCATAAACTGAATGGTCCTGGTTTCCAAGCCATTATTGAACCCATTCGATGGCCTTGGCAGGGTGGAAAGGAGAGCATGGACCACGCATCTGCCTTGTAAGGTCCTGAAGAAACCCAATAATTTATGATTATGAGGTTATGGAATAAGTATATGAAATGAAGCAAAGAGAATGTAACATTTTTCTGTCGCATAGATTACTGCACAAAAGAATGACAAATGTCCGATTTGCCGCTGAAGTATCAACTGCCATAACTTCATGAGTTGATCTACAGAACCGAGTTATTTAATCCATTCAAGTTATTGCTCAATTTAAGATAAAGGGTACGAATTTTCAAGCTTCTCGACTATTATGGGCCCACAACTTTTTGTTAGAAGAATTAAATTATGAAAATGGATGTGAGAAATTTGAAATAAAATTTTGAATAAAAATGCTCAAAACAAGAAAATAAGGAAAATTCTAAGAAAGGAAAAAAAAATCACGAAGTCATGAAAATAACCACTATTAAAAATATAGGAGAATCATATAAATAAAAGCATATTTAAATCTCTCCTGACTTTGAGCAGTTGAGAAAATTCACACTCCACATCTTGCACCAGAGAATTTGAAATCCTACAATTCTCACTCAGCAAAATCTTCACTATGTGAGAAAATACCCCATGTTATCTGCAGGCACCGAGGAGTCGCGTTTCCAATGTGTCGCCAGGGCGTTGCATCCGGGTGATGCAGTGTCTAGCTCTTTGGTTTTGAAATTGAACTAGGTACGACGACGCTAACTTCTTGACGTTAGGGCACTGTTGGTCACAGTGTTGGGGTGCTACAGAAACAACGCTGAGGTGGTATATATGAAAAATAAAATTTCAGTGGTTGCCCTCTCAAACCACCTAGCAAACTCACCTCTAAGTTTGATCGATAAAATTAACGAATTTGAGTTAAGAATTTATTTATATAATCAGGTTTCGCATAATAGCAATCTATCACTGGGAGACTGATTGTAATCAATTTTGCTTCTTCCTATCTCAACATTTCTAAACTCCAATTGAAGCTAAACATAGTTTTAGTTTCTCATTTTCACAACTTTAGTCAACATGTTTGTATGATTATGAGCTATGTATATTTTCTCCATAGATAATTAACTATCTTCTGAGAGTAAACAAATGAAATGATACCTTAACTGAATGAGTTTCATCCTGACATGAAATTTGATATCCTTTTTTAAATGGATGATACTCATAATGTCAGTGTGAAACTTTTTATTCCCTTTCCCCTTGTCAAATTCTGTAATAAAGCTTTAAATTCAAATCATTTTATTGATAGTCTTATTGATAGCAATACACTCAACTTCTGTAGTTGATAGAGCAAAAAAATTTTGTAACTTGGAAACTCAACTCACTGTTGTGTTCCCCAAAGTGAAAATATAACATTTTGCACTTTTTATATCATCAATATCTCATGTATCACCTGAGTTTATATATCCATGTAAATTAATCTCTACACTTCCAAAATAAAGTGCTTTGCTGACTATTCCTCTTAAGTTTCTGAGAATCCACTTCACTATCTCATAATGATATTTGCTTGAATTACTCATGTACTAACAAACTAATTCTTCTACATATGCATTATTTGGTCTTATACATATGATCACATACATCAAACTTCAAATAGCTAAAAGTATAACAAATTCATTTCAATAATGTTTGCTCGACTTTAGACTTAAATAATTATTTCTTAGATACTTTAAAGTGACTAGCTAAGGGAGTGCAAATTGATTTTACCTCATAGATATTGAATCTATATAGGTCTTTCTCAACATATTATGCCTAAGACCACTTCAATGTACCCACACTCTTATCTCTACTAGTTCTCATACCAAAAATTTTCTCAATTTGGCTTAAATCATTCATCAAAACTCGCTTGATAATTGCCTGTTCAAGTTTATGATATTCTCTATATTTGATTATGCAATCATCATGCCCTCCATATACAAGAAAAGAATAATATAGCTAATATAAAAAAAAAATTAATGAAGCAATATTGGTCTGACTGACACTAAGTGTACCTAGTGTATGACATAAATCTGTCAAATATTTTGAAGTACTATCTTGGGGCTTACTTCAAACCATAAATGATCTTTTTTATTCTCAAGACCATATCTTCTTTTCCTGGAATCATGTATCCCTATACTTGCATTTATAGTTCTTCTTCTAAGTCATCATATATGAAGGTTGCTTTCACACTCATCTGCTCTAGATGTTGATCTTCCACCATTATTAAACTCAGTAAAACTATGATAATGTCATCTTCATTATAAGAAAAATATCCCAGTGCACTAAACTCCTTTTTTTGTTAATTTTTTTTTATAATAAGCTTTGCCTTGTAGGACCTACTACTATCTAATTTTCTTTTCCTTGTATAAACCCACTTGTTGTGGAGTGCCTTTTTTTCATCCATTAGTTCTTTCTTTTTGTAAGTCTTTTTTTATATTAATGATTGTGTCTCATCATTATTGACCCCACTTTTGGTTGAGGTCTACTTTCTTCCTTAGAAACCTAGTATCTAGCCATAGGACATTCCTGTTGACTATTCATAGAAGACTAGTGATGGAACCCTCATCAATAGAAATTCTAAAACTCTTCTTTGCTCATCTTGAAGTACAACATATTGATTCTAACCTCTAGCACTTAGTAGGTGAAGCCAATATGGGGGAACTCAAGAGTAGTCCCCATAGGTTTGTTTGGCCTTAGGATTAGCCTTGGGGTGGTGTGGCCTTGGTCAGCCTCATACACACATGCACTTGATACCTTTCACATTCACTCACAACCTCAACCCTTAGCCAAATATGCTTAGTTGATCCCTTACTTTTTTTGGAACTCATGTGGATGGTCCCCTAAACCATTAGCCTTAAGCTAGGGTTTGGCTAAGACCAACACATGGATGATCCAAAGTGGGGTCTCCCTTGGTCTCATGGCTGATGAAGGGTAATTTCATGATTGACATCCTATTTAATCTCAATTTTACCTAAATACCCAATTTTAGCCTTTTATGAGCAAAGAAAGGAAAACTGGTCGTTCGGATGAACAAATCCTCCATCTCCTATAGCCAGCGCTCTTTTGTAATGGGATTCTGGCCTTCCAACTACCTTTGCTTGAACCTCCATCAAAAGACTCAGTTGACTATTACCAGCCTTGGCTTGGGGTGGAGCATTCTTGATGGATCCTCAGTCCACCTTGGAGACCAAATCAACACCAACCTCCCACAAAAGGGAATCGACGAACACCACTCTAATGATCGAGTCTTTTGCATCAAACAACAATATTAAGCAAGATTCAAAAAATAAAATTCAACCAGCATACACACTCCATACCCATAATTTTTATCTCACTCTGAATGAATGAAAGAGAACCCTTCCCCACCAATCTTATGTCCCACAAATGGAGGAGGAAGCCGACAACACCCTACATTCTCGGTGGCGTCGAGGCATCAACACCCTATTGTATGGTTCCCACATCAACTACTTTTGGTGCCCCTAGTGGCACCAAAGCACTTGTAACTTCTTGCAATGCTACCTCAGATAGAAGTATGGGATTCTGGACAGGAGCCGAAAGACCGACTGGTTGTTGTTTCAAATGACTACTCTCCCCCATCCGGGCCGCTTCACCGGACAATATTTCTTCTCGTGTGCCCCCTCTCTTGGGTAGCTTTCTTCAGCTCACACCTTTCCGCCGGGGCAACCAAGAAGCTTCTGACAACTCCATATGATTACGGATTGGGTATCTTCTATTCCTTCACCAACACTTTCTGCCTTCGCTCTCTCTCCGGGCGAGATTCACTCTCTCGCCTTATGTCCTCGAAAGCCTTTCGATAGACTGCTTTGGGATACTTATCAAGCCTAAAAGGTGGCTCGTTAACCATGTTGGCAATCATAGGCAGACAAACCGAACGAAGAGAATTAGGGGAAGATATAAAAATTGCTCCCCTTAGCCCATATTTATAAAAAACATGAGAACGAAATTCAAGTGGAGTTCAATTATTATGTTATTAAGTAATCATAAATAATGTTTATTTTTTACATTGAATTCTCTTATTTTTATCACACTTGTAAATTTCAAAAAGAAAGAGAATTAAGGAACTTAATATGTACACAAAAAATATGTAGTATAAATCTCGAGTCAATTCAACAACTCAAGAATAAAGATGACATGACAACTCTGGAATCATTGAAAAGTGACCCGGGGAGCCAGGAAAACCGATTGGCTCATGCTAGCCAATATTCGTTTGAATTGACCCAACATTATGCACTTAGAAGGCATCCTTTGCTCCAGGGTATAAGTCTTCTCAGCTAGTAAGAATCTCACTAGCAAGAATCAAGGACTGACGATCAAATCAACTCATTCGGTCTACCAATATTAGGTGGATGGACCCATCTCCCGAACTATCTTTAACAATCCTCTCGGTACCCCGTCCAGAAGGCCAACCGACAACACTCATTGATTTAATTCTTCGGTCCCAGTCGACCAAGCCAAAAAATGGCGAGACCCTAAGCCCACAAGGGTTTATTTACTAGAAATGCATGTACAACCTCCATTAAGCGGAGTTATAAATATAATTTTCCTTCATTGCTCATCATCTCCAATAAAAGAGGGGCATTTTATTTATATAAGGCTTTAGGCCCCCTCATTCTCAAATGTAACTTCTTACAAGAAGAGACTTCACGCTCTTCACCCTCTCCATTTATCAAAAATATTTGATTATATAAAACGAGTCACAAGGACTCGGGAATATCCTATTTTGCCACAGAGGAGCACGTTGTTGTGTGCCACAGAGGAGCACGTTGTTGTGCACTCCTGTTCCCTCTTTTCTCTCCCTCTCATTTTTCTTCTCCATTTCTTTTGGTTCAAAAGCATGAATCCCTTGGGT